GCAGTTTTATGTATGTACAATAAATAGATGTAAAGCAATGCTTAGATAATGGAAGAGTTTGCATATATTTAACCTCCTAAATAGCTAATATTCAGTAAGGCACCAACTTTTTTTTTTTTTAAAAAAGTTACAATTCAACTGCAAAAATAACTCCTAAGTTTCATAAATTTTTTATTTAAAATGTTCAGTAGCAATTTCCTAGATGAAACGTATTAGAAATTATGTTAGTTTCAGTGAGATTCTTCCTTGTATGCTAGAAAATACGTGCTTCATAGTTATAAGGAAAGACTTGCCCACTCCCTCTCCATATCTTCCCTCCCAAAAGAATGTGAAAGGAATAAGGGGAACCTGCTCTAATCCTCAATGTAGGACCTAAAATGTGCTCTGTCTTCTGTAAAAACTTGGATAACCCACCATGGCAGTTCTTCCCAGATTTTCCAGCTTTGGGTATTGATAGTCCCAAGGATCACTCAGTTCTGAGCAAATAAGATGGTTGGCTGCCCTACTTCAGGCGCCCTCCCTAGGAAGGTTTGTGATGCTCTATGAGTAGAGAGCTGGAAAGGTCATTAAGTACTTACAGTTTTTATAGAAGACATTGCAGATCTTCATTTCCACTTGATTCAGCTTCAGTCGTTCCCTTTCCTTCTTTCCTACCATTTTTGTTCTCTGAACCACTGGATGAGCTAAAGGCATGTTTTCCACTCTTGTCACCTGTAACGCTTTAGTTTTTAATTTTTCTGAAAGAGCTTATCCAGGAAAGGGTTGATGTTTTAATGGTTTGTTTCGACTCCTTTGTTCACTTCTTATGAACTTCAGTGGCCCCGTTATTTCTGTCCATTTCAGCTGGAGGAAATGTCCTGTTGTTATTGGGGAAGTTGAGGTATCCTTTTCCCCACTGGGTGCTGGGGGTGGAGTCCTAACCATATCTCGAGAAAAAGAATTCTCTGAGGCTCCCACAGGAGGATGGGTGATTCTTTTGTGTGTGGAATTACATCTCTGGGCTTCCAAAGTCCCATTTCCCTTACTCTAGTCCTGGAAGGAGTGTAGCCGGGTTTTAGTAAGGCTAAAAACAAAGCCAGTGCCCAGTTTCCATTCTGTGTTGCAGTCGGGTCCAGTTCAGCATCAGGCTAGTTACATTCATTAGTCCATTGTGAGTGGGGATCCACATGGCCGTGGGCCACACGGGAGAATGTCAGAGCCCCACAAGCCAGGAGTCAGCTGAGAACACAAGACCAACAAAAGAGAAAACTCCTTTGTTTAGGGGATTAAATATCCCAAATTTCACACCCTTACAGTGGCTACACCCATTCTGGACCATGACCTATTCTCAGGTGTGACTGACAGCAAGCAGCTTTGCTCACCCCCCCAACTTTACTGGGCATGCGTCTATCTCCCCCCATCCAGTCCCTTCCCACAGTGATCTGCTGGGAATAGATTAGTGGCTCCCTAGAAAGTGTAAATAAAGCTTTAACTTCCTGATGAAGCTATCCAAATGACATGCCTGTAATATTTGGCCTTCCCTGTTACTAATAACTAGAGGCCTGGTGCACGAAATTTGTGCACTCAGGGGTGAGGGGGGGCATTCCTCAGCCTGGCCTGTGCCCTCTCACAGTCCAGGAGCCCTTGGGGGATGTCCGACTGATGGCTTAGGACATCCTAAGCCGTCAGTCGAACATCCTTAGCACTGCAGCAGAGGCGGAAGAGGCTCCCGCCACCACCGCTGCACTCACCAGCCATGAGCCCAGCTCAGGGCTTCTGGCTGAGTGGCACTCCCCCTGTGGGAATGCACTGACCACCAGGGGGCAGCTCCTGCATTGAGCGTCTGCCCCCTGGTGGTCAGTGCACGTCATAATGACCAGTTGTTCCACTGTTTGGTCGATTTGCATATTAGCCTTTATTATATAGGACTAGTTTAATTACAATAGTATCATTGTCATTGGATGTCAAAGGTGTTTGCTGCAGTAGTGTTTGAAACAACCCAGCATTACCCTTATCTCGGGCAGTCACCGATGGCATGACATCACAGAGTGGGTAACTATTCATGGCCGGTGACTGTCCCATTACTCACACCCTCTTCTGCTGATTAGGCAGCCCTCTGAATCCGTATCCCACGCTGGAGGCCTCACTACTGCATAGTAAGAAGCTAACTAGACTTGAACCTTTACGTTTATGAAAAAATAGACAAAGCTGGTTCGCATAATTCATTGGGCTGCTTCTCTTTGAATTTCATGTATAATTTAAAATTTTCTTCCTATTATTCTCACTTTTTAACACTGGTCTAGTCATTTTCCTAAACAGTTCACAAGGAAAATTGTCATAGATATACAGCCTGTAAAATTCTTCTTTGTTGAAAGTAAGTCACGTTGTCAGTATTTCATTCAGAAGCTGAAATTTGCTTTCCTCTGTGCTTTTGAAAACCTGAAAGCAGTTTCAATTCATCTTGCATCCTATACCCTGTCTTTCTTAGCAATGCAAATACATAGTTTCCTAGAAATTGTCTCAAACAAACAGCCATGTGCTGATATAGACAAATTCTATCTATTAGCAAAAAAAAGTACTTTATTGAAATGACTTGTAATTAAGTGTATGTTTAATTGTACCTGCAGCCATGATGATGTAACATGTGGGACAGTCAAGTAGACATAAGCCTCATTCAAACAACATTCTGCAATAGGTGCTGCTTACCTATCTTTTCCCTCTCTGGGCTTTGCAATTCTGGCTGTGATAGTCAGGGCCCCAGTTCAGGTGTCCCTGGAGGGTTCTTTAACTTGGGACTTTATGAAAGCAAGAAAATGACTTATTGAGACTACACATTGGGGAAAACCCACATTATAGAGTGAGGCCTATGTATTTGAATTACACAGTTGACATAAATAAAAGTATGTGAACAGCTGACACCAAACAACATACAGTCTAGAATTTGCTGCCAGCTTTAGCCTGGAGTGGCTGACGGAGTGGTCCTTTGTCCCCGTGGTGGCCAGTTTCCTCTTCTTCCTGTGCCATCTGTCTCCGTCAGAGCCTGCGCATGCTCTTTGTGGTAGGGAGGTTCTTGTCCAATCACGGTCGCACTGCAGTGCTATCGGAGAATGCACCGTTTCTATCAGAGCCTTATGGACACTTCTCAGATTCTGTATTTGTAAAGTAACTGTTGAAACTTTACATTAATGGGGGAGGGGCTTTTAATTGCAAGAGACAGAAACTCTCTTAAGTTACTTTCGTGGAAAAGGGGACTTATTGAAGGGATATACATTCATGCAACTATAGCAACTAGCTGTTTTCCAGTCTCTCATGGGCCATATGGTTTCTTTCTTCCATTGTGTCTTTGTTTCTCTTTATCTGTTTTGTTCCTCTTACTTTTACAGATAGAATTCTTTGGCTTCCTCATAATTTCCCCTCCCTCATAAGTTCAACTTTCACACGCCTCTCTCAGCCTCCTTCCAAATCCAGAACTTTAAGCTGCAGCTTCAAACATTAACTGACTCAGTCTCTTTATTGTTCAACTTAAAGTCCCAGAGTGACATAGACTATCAAGGACTTTTTAATACTTATCTCTCCCACCAGACTGTATGTTTCTTGAGCATAAGGATATTATCTGTTTTCTTTGCCACTGGATACCCACAATGCCTAGCACAAAATAGTACTGAGTAAATATTTGATCAATTAATATAACATGGAGAAAACCATTTGAAATCTACTAATAAATGTTCTTGGAGGGAAAGGTTTCCACATGAGTTAAATTGGCTAAATCTTCTCAAACACCAGTTGATTTGGATTGAAGTCATCTTATTCAGGGTCAAAATATTCAGTAAAGAATAATATGATGAAAACATTCAAATAGTACGTGTTGGTGGAGAGATGGTTTCCATTGTGACTTCTGCTTCAAGAAGCCCTCACACTAATGAGTGAGTCAGTTGACTCACCACAAACTCAAAGTCATCCAGTTGCCATTAACCTGCAATCCAGCAGCAGTATTAGTGCTGATGGCAGTAACCCTGTTTGATTCATTCTCTGAGAGGTTCTTGTTTTGACAAAAAGAGCTAATAAAAGCAAGTGGGTGGTGGTGGAGGTGGTGGGAGAGAGAAGGTGCAGATCAAGCTGTCGATGGCTGGGGTATGCTTTCACTTACCTATGGAGTGGCCTTTCTCTCTGCCATGGTTTTCTGACTGTCCCTCCAGGGAACCTGTGTCCTGGGTATATTCTGTCTGTGTTCCCGATCACACTGCAGTGACAGAGGGGCCACTCTGCTCCTTGGGGAAGAAGGATGCTCCTTGATTAGAGGCCAGGTGAACTTGCTGCTGCCTGAAGCGTGGACACCACATACTTCTTGTGTGACACCCCTCCCCTCCCACAATGAAATATTCCTCGTTCTTGTCTTTTTAAAAACAGTTTCACATATTTCACACAATGATCTTCTGTTAGCAGAAGTCACTGTGATTTTTTTGTATTAATCCTAAATTTTCTTTTCATATTGTTTTATCATGAGATGGATAACATCATTTTCACCAACATTCTGAAAATTATCTAAGTAAATGTTATTCCCTTCAACATAGTTACTTGGGGAGATAAAATGTTTAATTCCAAAGACATGGCCATTGTGCAAAACATTTTTAGAACTCCTCTTTCAGTACCATTAATTGCTTCTTTCATATTCCGAACTAAGTTTAATTCAACTCTATAGGAAGATATGGATACAGATGGGAATACATTATCTTTTCACTATATTCTACTTATAACCCCTTTATGCTTACCTCATCTTTTTCTTCTAAATAATGAAAATGCTAAATATTTAGTGAGCACTCCCATTTTCATGTCAATGTCCAAGTTTGCCCCTGGCTACCTGTGCAGTTCTTCACTCAACTTTAACTTTAGGAACTGCCAGCACCTCCCCTCAGGTCTGACATTGCTGCTGGATACTAGGAATGCTGTGATCTTCGAGGAGTAGAGTTTTAGGTTTCATTGCCTAAAGCGTGACGTATAAATGAAATGGATTCTTCTTGCAGGAAATGTTTGACGTTATACTGGATGAAAACCAGCTGGAGGATGCGTGTGAACACCTGGGCGAGTACCTGGAGGCATATTGGCGTGCTACCCACACAACCAGTAGCACTCCTATGACCCCGCTGCTTGGAAGGAATTTGGGCTCCACAGCTCTCTCACCATATCCCACAGCAATTTCTGGGTTACAGGTATTGCCACTTGCCACTCGTGCTTTTACAACCCGACTTTGATTAAGATTCTATAGGGAACTTGATTGGGATGGAGACTGAGATTGTCCTTAATCTGAAGAGGGAACCATGTGTGGGCATTATACATAAAAAAAAAAATCTCAACTATTATTTAATCATGATCTATCCTAGACAAAGTGTCCCGGAAAGTGGCCCTCTCTCTAGAACTTGGTTCTCTGTTCATTTATAATGGCCTTCCCTTAGGTAACTTAATCCCTCTGTGCCCAGACTCTGCCAGGAAACTTAACACCTACTCCGTGCAGCTGTGCGTTATTTCTCCGTGTCACTTCTTCAGGACTGTGCAGTAGTGGCAAGCTAAGTCAAAGATTTGGGTACAGATGGACCTTTTGACTGCTCTTAGCAAGTCCTGCGCCATGGGCTCCGGGGTCCTCTGGCTTGCCCAGTCGTTACAGATTGTGCACACAAGTAGAGCTGCTCTGTTCGGAAACAGGGACAGATCCCTGAGTTTTCTTGCGGGGGGAGGGCCACCTTGGTCAGTGGCTATGACAAGTGTCCTTGAGGGAAGCTGGGGATGAGCACAAGTTCTCTCCCCCATGTCCTGGTGCTGCACTCAGAGCTAGAAGTGGGAGCCAGAGGTAATGATACAGAGTGAATCCTGCCTTTCTACATCAATTATTATTTACCATTTATCAAGCAGCTGCTGGAATGTGGCCAAAGCCCCAGCTGACTGAGGAACAGGTAGTAGTCAATTGAGCCCTCTTGCATCGTGACTAGTTTTATAATAATGGGTTATAATGACAGTCATAATTGAAGATCGTGTTGCGTTAACTCTGAGATAAATGGCACTCTCTGAAGTGCTATTATAATGGTATTGCTTTGCTACAAAATTGCATCTTTGTAAGCAGAAAAACTGCCGTACAAATGAATAGCTTTTGAGGCTGGAAATGAACATGGGAAATGTACTACTATAAAATATGCATATATTCTGTATACAGTATATATGTATGCACCAGGACTATTTCTTGCCTTGTTTCACTGCCTGTGTGCTGATCTGAGTGTGGCATTTCCACTGACTAATTTGGGTTGGCTCCAAATTGTACATTGTGAAATGAGAAGTGGATGCATGAAGCAATGTGCTTCTGTAATGTACATAGAAATGAAATGTTGCACTTTATCTATAAAGACAACACTCTTGATTCATCATCTCTAAGAAATCCACCCAGAGTGGTTCTCCCAGTTTCCCCTGAGTTAATGCGGTGCCCTTCATCCTGTGGCCTATTTCTCCTAGTAACCATGGCCTTTAATTGCTAGACCCCTGGCTGAGATTAAAGGCACAGGCTGTGACTCTTGAGTGAGTTTCCTTCTGTGTGAAGGTGAGTGTCTTTTAGAGGAAACGTATCTGGATCTTTGGTTTTATTACAATCCTGTTTCTTAACTGAGGTGACCCATCCAAGCAGGTAGACACAGCTATGATATGTGTTTTCCTATGATTTGAAGAACAATGTTGAATAACATTTTCTGAGCCATTAAATAAATGTCTGAAGATAATTTCAATTAATGATGTTAGAGGAATTTAGTTTTTATCTGAAGATAGTTTTACATGACATTTCAGTTGAGGAAGCAAGATTTGTAAATGTATCAATTAGTTGGCTACGTAATTGTATAGTCCTTCAGAAAGAATATTACCTTTATGTAGGACACGGAAACAAATGCATTATTTTATGAGCACAAATCATGTTATTCTGAACTTTATTTCCGAATAGTAGAATAATCCTCATGTTTACAACAGAATTGGAGTTGTTAGGCCTCCCTAAATATATTGAGTTCCATTCAACAGTTAACTTTCAATTCTGTATTTTAAGAGGAAGCATAATCATGCAGCATTATGTAATTAAATTCACAGACTATCAACACTTTGACATCTTTGCATGATATGTCCCAAATAAATAAAATCAGATATGTTGAGCAGATCATTTGTGCATCAAAATTCTTCATTAAGTCAGATATCCGGCATCTTATTGTACAGATCCTACTGTTTGTACGTGCATTGATGTGTTCTAGATGAATGAAGCTGACATTATTTAATCAATGAACTATCTGATATTTTTAGAGTCAGCGTGTGAGGCACAGCAACCATTCCACAGAGAACTCTCCAATTGAAAGACGAAGTCTAATGACCTCTGATGAAAATTATCACAATGAAAGGGCTCGGAAGAGCAGGAACCGCTTGTCTTCCAGTTCCCAGCACAGCCGAGATCATTATCCTCTCGTGGAAGAAGATTACCCTGACTCATACCAGGACAGTTACAAACCCCACAGGAACCGAGGATCACCTGGGGGCTATAGCCATGACTCCCGACATAGGCTTTGAGTCTGCAAGAAGCAAACAAACAAACAAAAATTCATCTGTTGACAATTTGCCATAGCACTGCTAGGATAAACCAATCATCTTAACTTGGCAAGTATAGCACAGTATTTACTGTGTTTATGGGCTGCTGTCATTTGATGCCAAATAAGGGGCAAAAAAAAAAAAAAGAAAAGAAAAAAAAGTACATCATGCCCTTAAGTCTAGATGGATATTAGATGCCCAATCATATAGATATTTTTAAGTGCAACATTTACATAACAGTACCTTTGTTTTCTTCATTAGATTTAGACACATCAATTTGTAAGTTAGGGTACTTATCAAGGCACATATAAAATAATTTCCCATGCTGGAAATTCCAAATGACCAGTTCCAGTTGGAACCAATTTATAAACCAATTCCTGTTGGAATTTGGGTGAATCGACTAGAAAGTCTACTTGAGCATGTGGCGGTCCATTAAAAAAATCTGAAAAAAAATAACTGATTAATGAGGATATCAAAATACCAATAGAAGCCAAAACCAGCTATGGTATTTATTTGCTGGAAGCTAAATTTACACTTAAAGTTGGAATGTATACACATTTTAATATACGTTAATGTTTCCAAAATGGCTTTTCAAACTTACCAAATGTACTGATAGTGCCAAAAGAATCTCAAATTAATACAGAAAGTATACAATCTTCTCACATTTTAATATTTTTATTTCTTTCCTGGCACAGCTGTTGTTTCAAAGTGTTTTGCTTTTTGTTTAGTCACTACTGTTATTTCATTTGAAGTTGGGGGAAAAAATCTCAAAATTTCTTTTGCAGTGAGAGAGAAAAGGGAAGCCCAATCATAGCAGGTTATGTGAAATGGAAAATGGGTGTTTCCCCTTTAATACATCTGAGCACAACTACATACATCCTGGATCTGAAGTCAGGGAGTAAGGATGGGCACAGATCCTCCTGAGTGCAAAGCTAAACACCTCCAGGTGGGACTTTTTCCATCCACTTCACAAACACGGGTTCAGTATTTCCCACTAGGCACAACTGAATATTTTTCATCGCCTCACTCAACCTCTGTCTTTGAATATCTGAATGCTCTAGCCCTTCACCAAATTCTTTATAATTATTCTAAGGATGTTAGTTTTATATAGACACATTCAATTTTGATATTGAAAGATGTGTTTGTACCAAACAATTAATTGAAAATGTGAAAACAAGTGATGAATGTAAAAGCTTGCAATGAAAAGAAACTCATTCAGAACATATTTGTCCACTAAACTTATAGTATTTTTATTGCAAAGGATTATAAAGAATTTGGAGATTGAGCTTCCTTATTTCTAATCAACATTCCTCTTCACATATTAAGTCTTCACAGTTTTTTCCAGTGGCTATAATTTTGGAATTGGTGACCTTCTATCTTATATTTTTAAGGAAGACTTAGATTCACTATGATCCAAGAAATTGTTGAAATTGACCATTTTATACAATACACAAATGTCTTTAGGAAAAGGCTCTTGTTTCTAAAAGTCTACAATGCATGCATTTTTCTAAAGCCCCAGTTGGACCATGCATAAAAATCCTTTTGTACTGGTACATGTCATAAAACCTATTTTTTGGAAACAATAATAATTCATTTTCTATTATCTTTTTCCCTCCACCAAGCCTTTCAATATTTAGGCTCTCGAAGCATGCACCAGTTAAATAAATTTCCTGGCCATGAAAATAAGTTTCATATTCTTGATTACTTAATTATACATATGTTAAACCCCATTATGATCTCCCACATTCCCTCCCCTCATGTTCACTGTGCATATTCCATTATGTTTAGCTGATAATGAGGATGCCTATAATTATGTAAGTTATCTCAAATATTTGATACAACTAAAAATATGGGCTCAGTAAATTCTAAAAGTTAATATGTGTTACTGGCTTATGAAGTTCTTTTGTCATCTAGTGAAGCTTACAGAACTTTCAGTTAAGACATTTAAAAGAGTTGTATCCATTATGCACTTTAATAAACATATAACCTGCCATTACTGAATACTTTGTTAGAGCACAGAAGAGCATTTTCCAGTAAGCAAAAATATACTTATTACATGTACAGCACATACTTGCATGAGAAAGAAAACATTAGCCAAAACATTTTTCTAGATGCTTTACTGGTTTCTTGTTTGTGCGCATTACAGTATTTAATTGCAAAGAGTGCACCAAGGTGTCTGAATTTAGACTAGACAGCTGTTCAGCTTTTTCTGTAGTAGCATTAGCAACCCAGTCATTTAACTACTTTAAAATATTTACATTTTATGGCAGGTAGCTATAACAGTATTTACATATATTTCCTAGTCAGCAAGATTTTCATATTTTTTCAACTTTTAAAAATCACTTGTTTTTAAAGGCCTCTCAAAGTCCTGTTTCTAAGTCTTCCATGTCATGCTGATACAGAGAGAGGTCCATTTAAAATCTCCACAAACCAATATGTCATTTACCATGAAGTGTCCATATGTGTTTTGCTTTGCATTCTTACTCAAAAGCTAACAATCTTGGAAAGGATATAATGTATATTTTCTTGATGGATATATTTAAAATTTTACTTTGATATGGCATATTTCCCCCCATTCCTTTTGTAATGTTTATCTTCTCCAGATGAATAAGAGATGCATTTTCCTTTTTTTTAAGCCTTAGACTTTATTGTGTAAATGATACTAAAATACAGATATATGCTAAATGAAAAGTTTTATTTTTGCCAAGCATATCAAGCACCTTTGGAAAATACATATTATACAAGTACTTTGTTTTTAACTGATTTCATTTGAAAATAGAAAATGATAAGCAGGAGAAAGAAGTCTTATAATATTTTGAGGCTGTTTTAACTTGTAGTATAAACCACGTATTCTGTGATTTTGGTATATGTAGTTTCAGAATATGTAAGTTACATATTCTGTCATTTCAGTCATTGAACACGTAACCATGTAGACTCATGTGACGATGTGGAAATGTAGTCCTGGTAAAAAAGGAATGCAACTTGTCAATACTGATGTTAATTCTCAAGGCTATAATATGACTTCAATATTATACTCAACAATGTGATCTTGTTTACTCCAATATTTAAGGGAACGCTTAGCAATGTTTATAAATGACTAATGATTCTCTCTTATCTTTTTACAGTTCCATTGGAAAGAAAATTAAAATTATTAATTTAGACTGATAGTCTTTCCTAATAAGAGAGTCTTAATTATGTGATGATACTTCATTGCACTTAGTCCTTAAGGAAGTGAATTTTTTAAATATAAAACAAATTCTGAGCAAATTATTTGTTCCCTTGAAATAATTTGTCAGTTACTTTATTTATTATTGTTATTTGCAAAATGTATTTTTGGAATGTTAACCTCTTTTCATACCTGCATACTTGAACTTGTCTGTTGTGTGGGGGCCTTAAAATTCATAATAAGAGCTAGGGCAGTGAAAGGGAGGGAGAGACGAAAATCATGCCAGTAGTTGGTTTGCAAATTTCAACTCTTTGAATGAACATATCATAAAATGTTGTTGAGACCCAGGATGTCAGTTAAGAATATTGCTAGGCAACCTTATTTTGCATGCTAGTATATTTTCTTAGTTATACAATTTTATTTTGGTATTTGCTAAGAATAAAAACAATATAATTCTACTATAGAATTTGCCCTATATATTGATATTTATACTACCTCTTCTCTACAGAAGACAAGCAGTCTTTAAAGAGAAAAATACTTTTCAATAAATAGTGATCAAATTTATTACTATTACTGCTCATCTTGCAGCAAAGCTAAATACATAAATTGTTAAAATATACCTCCCCTTTAGATTTTAAACTGTTTCCAAAATGCTCTTGTCACCCTTTCATTTCTTCCACATTAGTGAAGTTTTCTTTGAATAGGTTCACAATTTATTAGGAAGCAAGGTTAATTTAATAAGTCGTTCATCATAGGGAACAAATCAAACTGCAGGGGAATTATCTTTGTGTGCAACTTGTTATAACATCCAGCGCTAAGTCTGAAAGATAGTAGATCCAGATACTTGATGTTTAAGTGCAGCTGGTTTGTAAATTCAAATTTTGTTGAGGCTTGACTTCTCCTGTGGATACTTAGGCATTTACTGGGTAAGAATATACATTCTCTTGAACTCCTATGTCATCGAAAAAAATATATAAGATATTTCAAATAAATGGGAATGTACCCCTTATTTCTTTTCTATTTCTGCCTTTGTCTTTCATGACAATATTGCATGTCATTTTCTTTTTAATTACATAAAACTCATATTTGAATAACTATATGAATGGAAAACATTATAGGAAATTATGTAATAAAATTTGCTTTCTTAGCTCCATATACCTTTAAATATTGTTCATACTAAGTTACTTACTCAAGCTGTGTCTGTAGGTCAGAAAACAGTCTGCTCTTTTAAACGATCATCATGCTCACTGTCAGTTCCACAGCTGTCAGACAACAAGGATAACTGTTTCGTTGTTCACTTAAGCGTCAAGTTAGTCAAAATAGTAACATTGGCTTACATGGACAGACAGAGAGCTACAGCACTCAAAAATTACTTTTGAAAGGTTTCTTCTTAAAACATTCTCAAATGAAATACATCCTCTTACAGCAGCTATCTCTGTCTGCTTATGGGTGATTTAATCCCAAATGCTTCATATAATCGAGGGACATTATCAGAAGACTAGGAAATATCTCAGCAGATAATCTTGACTAAGGGCTGTAACTCCCACTTACCGTGCAAAAAAGTGTATAAATAAGTGAGTAGCAGTGAGTTTTGGGGAGTCATAGTTACATATGAAACTTTCCTTTGTTTCTTTTGATGTGTGTAAAATGTGTGCAGAAAATTGTAAAAAAGATGTTTCTAATGAATTTAGAGTGGTTTTGGAAATACACTGATGCTTCCTGTTTGAAAACTGTAAGGATTTAAAATGAGAACTATTTAAGAACCAAAAGTAGCTGGCCTCTAGCTTTCAATACTTGGTAAGTGTTCTTGGTTACGTTTTGAACACTTACATTTCTCAACAAATGGCTATGTCTATATTTATGTAGGGGCCACTCTTGCCCTACTTGCATGCCACTTTTACACACTTTTAACTGAAATCAGTGTGCATCTTGTATGCATAAAGGATATATTAAAGATGCAGGATTATTAATGCTACATTGTTGCATACTATTTT